TGTCCTCTGGTCTATGCTTAGTGTCCTGTTTTTTTGTGATCATTCTCCTTCACTTCAACCCATGCCCACTCTCCTCCCCTCTATGATCATTCTGCAACATTTTCCATCCATGCCTGTATTCCGCTCTGGTCTGCCTCTTTTTTTAGCTGTACACACTGTCCTCTCTGTGGTCATGCTTCTCCCCACTTTGCCCATTCTCCAACATTTCCATCTATGCCTGCCTTCCTCCCTTATTCTCCACTAATTTGATTGAAGCCCACTATCCTCTTCTCTGTGATTATTCACCTGTACTTCCTTACTTTCATCTCTGCTCATTCTACTGTCTGGTCATTATGGTCCTCCACTGCCCATGCCCATAACGTGATTATCCTTTTCCACTTCCAGCTTTGTTGACTTTTCCTACATCTCTGGTCATTCTCCTTGATTACATTCTCCTTCCCCCTGTAATCATTCTCCTCAACCGTAATAAGGTGTTGAAATTCTCCTCCATCCTGGACAAATCAATTTTAAAACACAGAAGTAAAACACACATCGAACTAATTTCCTTTTGTTAAACAATAAATGCTTTAGGAAATGTATCCACTCCCTAAATTATGATCATGAACAGGAACACAGTGGCTAGTATAATTAAAAACCATAAAATTCAGCAACATTTTTAAAACTTCACCTGTAACAACACTACTTTATTTTATAGGTCATAGCCAGATGAACACCCAAAGTTAAAAAAAAAACCCATCATTTTTAACATGAGTTTGGAGGTATGATGGCTTCATCCTTTGGTATAAGTTTTCCCTTCAAGACAATTCCAAACCTGTCTCTTAGCAGATCAGGTATCTCATCCTCATTGAGGTCTCGGGTAGTTTTCACACACCCACCCCCTCTGGTAAATTCTGTAGTTATCAGTCTGTGCCCCATGTATGTCAGTCTTCCACGCAAGAGCTGAAGGGAGCAAAGGGACTTGCAGGTAAATATGGAACTTGGTGAAGTTTGGTGATATTCACACATCTCCTTGAAGTCTTCGAACCTCCATTCTTCAAGGGTGAATTTATAAAGACTTCTCCAGAGGTCACCATCTTTTCTCTCTAAGTACCATGTCTCTCTTTCCACCCGTAACCTAAAAACTCCATTGTCCTGCTCCTCTTCCCATCCATCCTCCAGTAGAATTGGGTCAATAAAACCCTCTCCAAACCCAACATCACAAAGCCATTTTCTTCCTTCTAGCTCTACTATCATTAGCAGATGATCAAATTTAGGTCCATAAACACCACAGGTTTTGTTCCTCACTCTTGCTGATAATACCTTGGGCTTGTACCCCAGTTCTTCTAGCACCCACAAGAAAAGGCCATTGCTCTCATAACAGAGCCCACCGCGTTTTCCCACAACAATCTTCTCATAGATCGATGACATTTCCAGTATAATTTTTTCCCCACTGTGAATACCTAGGTTTTCTGCAGGCACAGAGAGGGACATGATGACGATGTAGCTCCCGCAGTGCCGAAAGGGAAGGTGGCCCAGGGTCTCTCATATTGACTCGTTTGAAATATGACTTCAGATCCATCTAAACCGGTTTTCTGTGCAATAAAAAACAAAGAGGTAATCTGCTACTATGTTTATATTAACCATTTCAAAGCCCACATTCCAAGTATGGGTACAGCTGAATTATTCAGAACTCTATGTAAGAGTACAAATATTAAAAGAACTTATTAGAATAGGTTTCACAAAGATTAGCTAAAAGTATTTTTTTTATAAGTGATTACATACCCTCTGTTCTCAGCTGCATAAGAGCTAGGGGAGGAGAAATAGCAGTATATTGATCTTCCCAGTGAAAGGACATGTGTGTGTGTATGTGGGGGGGGGGGGGGGAGGGGTGTCGGGTGTCAGGACACGTCTGATCATTGGAGGAAAGCAGGTTCAGCACAGCTGGAGAACTGATCATGGTGTGTTCTCATGCCTAGTGTGGTCAGTTTTTAATAGGGAAGCAGAGGGACTGGCAGAAACACCAGGGATTCCACACAAAGAGAACAGGATACTTTTTCATACAAGTATACATAGTATAGCAGGCACATATCAGGAATATGACATGTTGGGTTTACATATTCTTATAGCACCTAATACATTTAACCCTCCCTAACCTGAATATTTAACCCTTAAAGTGACATTCCAGCCTACACTTATTTATTATGTATTTATTTATTTCAGGTACTTATATAGCGCCATCAATTCACGCAGCGCTTTACGTATATATTGTACCTTCGCATCAGTCCCTAACCCTCAAGGGGCGTACAATCTAAAGTCCCTAACTTACATTCCTACATACACATACTAGGGACAATTTAGACAGGATCCAATTCCTATCAGCATGTCTTACACTTAACAAGCCTTAAAACTGCATCCTCCCCCCAACACCTATGCTAACGAACCAGTATAGGAAAGATGTACACTGCTCAAAAAAATGAAAGGAACACTTTTTAATCAGAGTATAGCATCAAGTCAATTAAATTCCTAGGATATTGATCTGGTCAGTTAAGTAGCAGAGGGGGTTGGTAAACAGTTTCAGCTGCTTTGGTGTTACTAAAATTAACAACAGATGCTCTAGATGGGCAACAATGAGGTGACCCCCAAAACAGGAATTGTTTTACAAGTGGAGGCCACTGACATTGTTTTCCCTACTCATCTTTTCTGACTGTTTTTCACTAGTTTTGCATTTGGCTAGGGTCAGTGTCACTACTGGTAGCATGAGGTGATACCTGGACCCTACAGGATGGCACCTCAATATTTGCCATTGCCAGAAGGTTTGCTGTGTCTCCCAGCACAGTCTCAAGAGCATGGAGGAGATTTCAGGAGACAGGCAGTTATTCTAGGAGAGCTGAAAAGGGCCGTAGAAGGTCCTTAACCCATCAGCAGGACCGGTATCTGCTCCTTTGTGCAAGGAGGAACAGGATGAGCACTACTAGAGCCCTACAAAATGACCTCCAGCAGGCCACTGGTGTGAATGTCTCTGACAAACAATCAGAAACAGACTTCATGAGTGTGGCCAGAGGGCCTGACATCCCCTAGTGGGCCCTGTGCTCAATGCCTGGCACCATAGAGCTCGATTGACTTTTGCCATTGAACACCAGAATTGGCAGGCCCGCCACTGGCGCCCTGTGCTTTTCACAGATGAGAGCAGGTTCACCCTGAGCACATGTGACAGACGTGAAAGGGTCTGGAGAAACCGTGGAGAACTTTATGCTGCCTGCAACATCATTCAGCATGAGCGTTGGTCTTGTCTGGGCAGACATATCCATGGAGGGACGCACACACACCTCTACAGGCTAGACAATGGCACCCTGACTGCCATTAGGTATTGGGATGAAATCCTTGGACCCATTATCAGACCCTATGCTGGTGCAGTGGGTCCTGGGTTCCTTCCGATGCATGACAATGCCTGACCTCATGTGGTGAGAGTATGCAGGAAGTTCCTGGAGGAGGAAGGACTTGATACCATTGAATGGCCCCCACGCACGCCTGACCTAAATCCAATAGAACATCTCTGGGATATCATGTTTTGGTCTATCCGACACCACCAGGTTGCACCTCAGACTGTCCAGGAGCTCAGTGATGCTCTGGTCCAGATCTGAAAGACCCCAGGACACCATCCATCATCTCATTAGAAGCATGCCCTAACATTGTCATGCATACAAGCACGTTGGAGCCATACAAACTACTGAGTACCATTTTGAGTTCCTGCAATGAAATTTCAGCAAAATGGACTAGCCTGCTGCATCATTTTTTCACTTTGATTTTCGGTCTTTGAATTTCGTCCTCTGCAGGTTGATAATTTTCATTTCCATCAAACGATGGGGCATCCTTATGTTCCTAACACATTACCCAGTCCATATCAGTATAGATATCCAGCAGGAGATTTCTCCCCATTGAGATCTGATGTGTTTTCAAAGTATTCCTTTAATTTTGTTGAGCAGTGTGTATTCTTACCTTGTTTCATGCCACTCTGGTCCGGTCACAGGATCTGACTCCCCTGAGTCAGTCAGCGTGGCTTCAGGGGAGAGGAGCGAGTGCTGACAATGGATGGGGGTAAATAGCTTAGTGGGAACCCTTATCGGAAAATTGAAAAAAGTAACAAAAAAAGATGGAAAATACCCTGACTTAAAAAATAATAAAATAAAGGGGTATTAAACCCAAAAGGAAACATTTATTTTTTTCAGGTCACCAATTCTTGGATGAGGTAGCTGCTTTAATTTTCTTTTTTAGGCTCTTTTATTTTCACCTGGTGCTCTATCCAGTAAGTCTGTTGTTTTTTTTTAATAGAAAACGTTCTCCTAAAAATGTAGCAGTTAGAGGGTTGAGACAAACTAATTACAACTGACAGGAGTGCTTACATTGATTAGCTTTTATTTATTTATGTAAAAACTTTATCCATAAAGGAAAACTGCTTGTGTAACTGCAGTTTGAGTTGGAGTTTGGCTTCAATTTGTTAGTGTATCTAAATCTGCTAACACATCTAACACCCCCTCCTCTTAGACTCACAATGCTGCTGTCCAAATCTGCCCCTGTGCTCCAGAACAGAGGCTCTCTAATACAGCAGGTGTGTTACTGGCCAGATCACCAGGTAAAAACAGAGGGGAAAAAAAATAAAACAAATGCAGCCATCATATCTAATGATTGGTAAGCTGCAGAGGTTTGGGGTTTAATATGGCTTTCAATGACATAGTGATGTACAATGTTTTTGGCATCCTTCAAGGTTGGTATAAATAGTCTGAATGCTCCCTGAGATATTCAATGCAGCAGTCATTGGAAAGTGACAGAATTGACTGCCTAGACTTCAGGATGTAGGAGATAAAACTAAGCAGCCTGGTGTTACTTTTAAAGCCCATCTCCATGTGTTAGTGAACATTAATTAGTTTTTTTGGACCAAGCTGGTCCAAACAAACAATTTCCTTCACTAACACATGCAACAGCTGTCAGCCTTGTGTGATCCGTACCAGGGGCGGACTGACAACTTATGGGGCCCCCGGGCAATAGGGGATCATGGGGCCCTTGTGTCCTTGCCCAAACTCAAAAAAGCCTATGAAAAAGGTACCAGGGGCATCTCATGGGGCCCCCTACTGACCCTGGGCCCTCGGGCAGTGCCCGAGTTTCCGAATGGTCAGTCCGCCCCTGATCCGTACGTAGCCTCATTTACATACTGTATACAGCGCTGTGTTCCAGCAGTGGGATGGGTCTTCCCGTCCTGATCCCGGAACAAAATCAAGTCGGGATGAGCACTGCTCAGCCATTCACAAGAAGATTTGTATTTTCTGAATGAATACAAATCTGACTGGCAGAGGTGGAGAGGCGGGCAGATCATGTCACAATCTCTGCCTCAGACAATCACAGCAAGCTTTTTATTCAATCAGAAAATAAAATTGTGTTCATTCAGAAAATACAAAGATTCCTGTGAATGGCTGAGCAATACTTAGTCTGACTCGAAGTCCCAGTCCCGCTACCAGAACACAGTGCTGCATTCCAAATATAGCTAAAAATACATGCAGTTCATACAGTGCCGACAGCGAGAAATAGTTTAGTGAGCATCCATGATGACATGTCTGTCATAGGCAGTTGTCAAGAGTGCCAACTATGCCTGCCCTTTCCGCCCCCCTCCTCCAATCATGGAAGCTGTACTATAGCTTCCATCAATAAAAACGTGCTCTATGAATGGAGGATGGGCAGATGGATGAAAGATCCATCTGCTCATCCTCATAGAGCACTTTTTATTGATGGAATCTTTAGTTCCATGATTGGGCGGGAGGGGGCAGGCATAGTTGGCCCTCTTGACAATTGCAGGTGACAGGTCCACCAACTGTATTAAGCCCCACAGCACTGGAGGATTACCACTTTACCACTGTAGTGGTGTGGTAGGACAGCACAAAGGACGCTTCTTAATAATTATACATACTGTCCCTTGTGTTGATTAAAAAAAAAACTAAAAGTGATTGTAAACCCTTACATATATCCATTGGAGTGAATTACCTGGCCTGGTGATAAACAGAGATAAAACAAATCCTCCTACATAAGTTGTACCTGTTTATCTGCAGTCTACTCTTTTCTACAGCCATTCAAAGTCCAGAATTTATACAGCTTGCCTGAGCTTCCAGAAAACAAGGGATGGAGAGCTGAAGTTACATTCTGCAGAGCTTAGTGAGTAGAGCTCTGAGAGCTGATTGGAGGGAAGAGACACACCCCCTTCCCACAGTACACAAGAACAGAGCTGAGGCTGTCAATCACAAGCTGTGTGCTGAAGATCCTTTTCCTGTCACCATTTTTTCCTTGGTGTCAGCTGTGGTTAATGTAGATAGCAGAGGACTGCGGCAGCAAACAAATTACACTTTGGGGTTGATTTAGTAAAGGCAAACAGGCTGTACACATTGCAAAATGCAGTTGCTCCAGAGGAAATGAGCAGAAGCTCTGCTGACGTCTACCAACAGCATCAAAAATGCTGTTTTTTAAATTTCCTTGCATGTGATTTGGTATTCTTTGCAAAGGGAAGCTTTACCTCATTTACTAAGCTCTCGAACAGGAGTAGAGTGAGACAAACACACACTATAGAGGGATATACTTTGTTCATATTTCATGTCTGAAGTTTACAACCATTTTAATCTTTTTAGACCTTGAAATCTGGAACGCAGCATTTCAATTCTGAATTGCATTTTGCTGAGCAGTGCTACCTTGCGGGTCAGTGGCAGTTTTTCCCATCCTACTCTGCTGTGTTTGAACTGTTCTATTTTATTATTACAAGGCTGGAATGGAATGTGAATGTATGCAGATCACCAGCAATCACGGAATCAGTGTGACACCTAGAAGCATGCATGGCTTTCTTTTACAAAGTTTTATCTCTTATACAGAAATTAATCATAAACCCACCTTCTGGAAGGACCGTGTCCAAATCAACTTCCAAAGTGAAACAGGAAGACAAGAAGTCACGTGACGTCTCGTGATTCCAGCCACTGCTGTGTTCCTGGACAATGTACAGAGAGATGAAGTCATTTTTTCAGCAGCAGAGCCAGCACCTCCACAGTACTCATAGTGTTTTCCTTAGGTGTACTCCACTGATTGGAACATGAGCTATAGCAATCTAGCTGCAATCCACAGCCATGTGTGTGAAAAGCTGGCCATACACAATTTTTTACTCAAACATTATCACTGGTCAGAACATTCTTGACTGCGGGACATGCAGAATATCGAGGCTAGTACTTACCGCCTACACCTTAAAAACAACCACCCCCACCTGAAATAACCACGCGACTCTCCTTTTTGGTGAAAAAAACGTCCATAGCAGCCCCATTTAACATAACTCTTACATAACATAGCACTTCTTCTGGTACAATTAAATAATAATAACCGACATTAACCACTTGCCCTCCTGAGGATTTACCCCCCTTAACCACTTGCCTTCCTGAGGATTTACCCCCCTTAACCACTTGCCCTCCTGAGGATTTACCCCCCTTAACCACTTGCCCTCCTGAGGATTTACCCCCCTTAATGACCAGGCCTCTTTTTTGCTACTCGGCGCCGCACTAATTCAACTGATAATTGCGCGTTCATGCAATGCTGCACCCAAACGAAATTTACGTCCTTTTTTTCACAGAAATAGAGCTTTCTTTCGGTGGTATTTGATTGCCTGTGTGCTTTTTATTTTTCATGCTATAAACAAAAAAAAAACAAAAATTTTGAAGAAAAATTATATTTTTTACTTTCAGCTATAAAAAATATATAGTAAACTCAAAGTTAGTTATAAATTTAGGCCAAAATGTATTCTGCTCCATGTTTTTGGTAAAAAAAATTCCAATAAATGTATATTGATTGTTTTGTGTGAAAGTTATAGCGTCTACAAACTATGGTATAGACACTGCAATTTACGCCATTTTTTTGCTATACAGCGCAGCGCTAGTTTAACGGACAATTGCGCGGTCATGCAATACGGTACATAAATGAAATTGACATCCTTTTTTTCCCACAAATTGAGCTTTCTTTCAGTGGTATTTGATCGCCTGGGCGTTTTTTATTTTTTGCGCTATAAAAAAAAAAAGGCTGACAATTCTGAGGAAAAAAAACAATATTTTGGACTTTTTGTTATAAAACATGTCCAGTAAAAAAAATGTAAAAATCAAATTTAGTCATAAATTTCTGCCAAAATGTATTCTGCGACATGTCTTTGCTATAAAAAAAACCCCAATACGTGTAAATTAATTGGTTTACGTGAAAGTTATAGCATTCACAAATGATAATGGCGGAGATCAGCGACTTATGGTGGTGATCAGTGCCTTATGGCGGCGATCAGTGACTTATGGCAGGACTGCAGGACTGAGGGACGGCGAACATTCTGACACTGGGGGGGAACTGACTTGGGGTCACTGACATCCCCAGTGACACCAATACAGTGATCTGTGCAAAAAAAAAAACACTGACACTGTACTAATGGCACTGGGGAGGAAGGGGTTAACTTTTTTATTCACTGAAAGGGTTAACTGTGTGAGGGGAGTGTTTTTACTAGGGGGCAGGGGTGTGTACTACATGGGAACACGCTGATCCGGAGAGATAAACTCTTTTCTCCGGATCAGCATGTCAAGAGCTGACAGGGAACTGACAGAAAGCACAGCTGCAGTGTAAACACTGCAGCCGTCCTGTCAGTGATTGCCACTAATCGCCGGGACACGGTAGGTAATGACCGGCCGTAACCCAGCAACTGACACCCGCGGCCCCGATTGGCGGTGCAGGTAGGGCGGTGGCGCACCTCACACGTGCCCCCTACCTGTTTTGCAAAAGCACGTTTTAAAACATCGTTTTGCGCAGCCATGCCGACCTGCCACCGTATTTCTACAGTGGCTGGTCGGCAAGTGGTTAACAATCCCCAACCGGGTCCCAGGTCTTCGAAGGCTCTGTTACTCACACCAATAACTTGTCTGTATCTGATGCCCAACGAAAAGGCCCCCAGCCGCTGCCACACCGCCTCGGGGACAATACTACAAATACGTAGTCCCAGATACAGCCAATGACCTCCCACCTTACCAACAACCTTATAATTGGGAAGGGACACCCATACCTAAGATGGGCCCAACCCATAATCCACCAACTTGTCACTCCAGCACTGCCTTCAAAGACCCAGCTACCCCTGCCAGCTACCATGACAAACAGAAACAGACAACACCCCAGGACGTCAAGAAAAGAAACAAAGGAAGGAACCCACACCAAACAACACAGGACAAACACAAAAAGAATAAACAATAATCAAAGCAAACAAACCAAACAGGAAGGCAAAACAACTGAACAGCTCCAGGGAGGGAGGGCGGGAGAAACCTCACCACAAGCTCTGGCACAAGCTCCGACTAACCCCCGACAAATCCCAACCTCTCTCCTCATCCTAGCAAGACCACCCTCCAGGCCGATTGCTCCAATCTGGTAAGTAACCATCCCCCATCTCCTATACTCCCACCCAAAACCCATCTCCACCTCATCTGCAAGCCCCAGTAATGCTGGCCCTCCCTTTAGCTTCGCTCAGTCCAGGCCCTGACTTTCTTGTCATCATTGGGGCTGATTTACTAAAAGCATCAACTTTGCAAAGTGCAGTTGTTCCAGAGCTTAGTAAATTAGGTGAAGCTTCAAGAATACCCAATCACATGCAAGGAAAATTATTTACAAAATGCATTTTTTCTTGCACATGTGTAGCACCCTCTAGTGAGATACTAATATAGTGTAGTATAGTATAGGTAAAATGATTGCGTGGCTCATGGTAGTTGTGTGGGTTATGTGATTGAGGTTGGGTTATTGCAGGTCAACTGGATGACACTACAGATTGTGGCTATAGCACCTCCTCCTGACTGTGGAGGACCATAGAACCTTCCAGAGGTCGGTAAGAAGAAGTAGAGGCCTAATCTGCATATTCATGGAGTCCAACCAATTCCAGGTTTGAAAACCCTGGTAGAGTGGTGGACTGGTCTATAAGTATGGGAGAGTCAGGCTGACAGAGGAGTCAGGTGGAAGATGGAGTGTTGAGGAGACTGTCTGGGTCTAGGAGGGGTTCCCTAGGTCTGGGGGGGTGACCTCTAGGCTGGGCTTGGGCTGGCTCAGGAGGATACATTCTGTGGAAAGGCATGAATGAGATCAAGGCCTGGAGCAACAGGAAGCAAGGACAGTGTGAGTACAGCAGCACACTTTGGGATCTACAAGGGGAAAGACTGCCAAATGTAGCAATCTGTCCAAGGACAGCATCAAGCTAAATCTTTGATCCTTGATCCAGGAGATCTTTTGAGAGGCCAGGAGAGCTGGTAGTGCCTGCAGGCTAGGGAGCTGGGAGAAGCTTGGTAGGGGGAAGAGAAGACATCCCTGCATGTAGCTACGAGAAGTGAAGTGATTTTTGTCTTTGGGGGGCTGCTAGTTTCTCGCCCATAGGGGGGGAAACTGCTATTTATATGCAAAATTTTATAAGAAAAACACTTTTTTTTTTAAATGTTTGGACTTTTTCATTTATATAGCAAAAAAAAAAATACAAATCCCAGTGGTGAATAAATACCACCAAAATAAAGTATTATGTCTAAATAAAATTGCTAAAAAATCCATATGGGTACAGTGTTGCATGACCGCTCAATTGTCATTCAAAGTGTGATAGCGCTAAAAGCTGAAAATTGGCCTGGACAGGAAGGGGGTGAGAGTGTCTGGAATTGAAGTGGTTAAAAAGGTTCCATTACAATATGTATTTACAGTTGTTACAACGTTCCATGAAACAAAAACCACATCAACATTTCGGGGTGCATTCCATTCCGGACAGTAGGGGATCCACTCACAGATTCACTGCTGGCAGAGCAGAGCAGAGCGGGCAGATGACAGGTCTGTGTCTGGTCAGTTTATGCGGTGCGGATATGGACAGAGTCCACTCTGCTTTATGGGTGGCCGGGGGTAGACAGACTCTGCTATCCGTTTACACCCAACTACTCTCTGATCCGTTCTGCCTAAATGGAAGTGGACAGATCCCCCTCTTCTTTTTTTTTTAAGCTGACCATGAGGTAGGCAGGTGTTAAAGGGACACAAGTCCATTTACACCCGCCTGTCCTAGGAATGCATGGACCTTCCTGTCAAATCCATCTAAAAATCTGACAGGTGAATTACCCATGCGAAAGGGGTTTTAAAGGTTTGTCTGTACAAGAAATATTTTCCATCCTGCTCTTTCAACTTTTCTTGTCACTATAGCTGAAAACAAACATCAATTTGACCCCACTAACCATCAGCAAATAGACGGAATGTTCCAGACGAAATTCCACCAGTCTACTGCATCAGATGAACAGGGCGTGTTACTTGTCTTCAACTGCCACTTGTAACAGGTTGCTTGAAATCCCTTGTTACTAAACCTGGCAACACACATTACAAACCTACTGTACAATTAATGTGCAATCTCCTTTAGAGTGACACTAAACAATATCCTTATTGGAGATGAGCTTGGGCGTCCTCCAGACTCATCTCTACCAAAACTACAAACTTCTGTTGTTTTTTTTTTTTTTACTCCAGTGAGCGTAAGGCAAGGCCATTTGTTGGAATCAGGGGTGGACTGACAACTCATGGGGCCCCCGGGCAACAGGGGATCATGGGGCCCCTGTGTCCTTGCCCACACTCAAACCACACCCAAAAAAGCCTATGAAAAGGCACCAGGGGCATCTAATGGAGCCCCCTACTGACCAAGGGCCCTCGGCCACTGCCCGAGTTCCCAAATGGTCAGTCCGCCCCTGGTTGGAATACAATGGTCATGTATCTTTGTACAATAACTACATCAGTATCAGTATTCAGTAGAAATATATTCTTCAACCAGTAGGTGGCAGTGTTTATAAGTGTGTAGCTGCATCTATGTTTAAACTCTATTGTATTTTTTCTATAATAAAAGTTCCTGTTTCCTTTTAGCAGAGAAGCAGCAGATAAACACATATGGGCTGTGCACTGTCTGTTCTGTTGGACATTATACAGAATCTCCATTCCTGTTTATATGGGTGGAACTTGGCCTGCAGCTCATTGGAGTAAAAAAAAGAGAGCAAGTTCAGAGTCTGGGTAGAGATGCGTTTGGAGGACACCCAAGTTCATCTTTAATTCCTATTCTGCAAAAATAATCCTTACATATCCTCTAAATGGTCCTGTAATATGTTTTTCATACTGTGCTTTTCTGTGGCTTACTGTTTTTTTAGGAGGGTGGCTACATTCCTAAGTACTGTGAAACTATAAAGAATGAACATAACCACCCTCTAATAGGGAATCTGATCACAGAAGACATTTGGAGAAGGGACTTTTTGAGTTATGAATAAAAAGTTGAATAGATTTAAAAACAGCTTAGTCTCGCTGTAAGCTGGAGCACACATACCTGTCTGTTTGTACAATCTCTATACATCCTTCTTTAGCTTTACCCATAACTTTGCAAGGTAAGGACTTACCTAAACCACCTGTTCAATTTATAGCCAGTCAGGTAGGCTGCCAGATTTTATGTCTTAACTCAAGAAGATTTCAAAGAGACTGTATAATCAGACAGCAGAGTGTGTAGCCAGCATTACAGGCAAATTCCTGGCTATGGAAGGCCCAGAAGTAAGGCCAGCTCCCATGGTCCGGTCACCTGTATGCACCCACTGTGCATCTAAATACCACATTATTATTACAGGTACTTATATAGCACCGTCAATTTACGCAGTTTTTTTACATATATTATTATTATTATACAGGATTTATATAGCGTCAACAGTTTGCTCAGCGCTTTACAGTAGAATGGGAGACAATACAGCAACAATACAGTTCAATACAAGAGGGTTAGGAGGGCCCTGCTCCTTGGAGTTTACAATCTAGGAGTACATTCACATCAGTCCCTATCCCTCAGGGGGAGTACAATCTAAGGTACTTCTAGTCCTATGGCTTGGTTTGAGTTCAGGCCAGGCTGCATGAACTCTGTTCTGGCCTGGCTGAATGGGCTCTGTTCTGGCCTGGATGAATGGGCTCTGTTCTGGCCTGGATGAATGGGCTCTGTTCTGGCCTGGATGAATGGGCTCTGTTCTGGCCTGGCTGAACGGGCTCTGTTCTGGCCTGGCTGAACGGGCTCTGTTCTGGCCTGGCTGAACGGGCTCTGTTCTGGCCTGGCTGAACGGACTCTGTTCTGGCCTGGCTGAACGGGCTGTGTTCTGGGATGGCTGAACGGGCTGTGTTCTGGGCTGGCTGAACGGGCTCTGTTCTGGCCTGGATGAACGGGCTCTGTTCTGGCCTGCTGAATGGGCTCTGTTCTGGAATGGCTGAATGGGCTCTGTTCTGGCCTGGCTGAATGGGCTCTGTTCTGGCCTGGCTGAATGGGCTCTGTTCTGGCCTGGCTGAATGGGCTCTGTTCTGGCCTGGATGAATGGGCTCTGTTCTGGCTTGGCTGAATGGGCTGGGTTCACCCTGTAAGAGCAGTATACATTTTGCCAATGAATAGAAGTTACTACTGTGTTACCCTGATAAAAGAGCAGCTCACACCTCACTCAGTGTTAGGTTGCTCATAGATGGGTCGTCTTTTTTTTGATCAGCCAGTAGGGTGATAAAAATAAAAAAACGATTCCCCCATCCACACACTTAAGGTGGGTGGTGGAATCCTCCCCTCTGTGCTATTGTATTTTGAGAGAGGGTTCATAATACACTGATCAGCGCTGCAGCCAGTTGCCTACAGCCGCTGATTGAATGAAAATTGTCAACATTCCAGTTTGACAGAAGTCGATCATGTCTGTTTACACCCGGCTACTTCTGATCCGGCAAAAGCAAATGGAAGGGGGATCCATGCCCCTCGTATGTCTGGATTGGATTGGTGAGCAGTGGGGTGTAAACAGACACTTTCCAAACACAGGAGAGGTGCGAGTCTAGCTCACCGCTGTACATGCATAAGGACAATGTCTGCACTCCCTTGTTCAGAGCAACACTTTATCAGTCCATAAAAGCAGTTCAATGGTACAAAAGTACACATGGGGGGGGGGGTGAGGGAGAGAGACATGTAATGTACGTTTTACACTTGTTGTGACCACATAGGTCCAGAAGAAGCAAAGCAATTGTGAAACGTGTTACCTGTCACGTCTCTCTCCCCTCACCCCGTGTGTACTTTTGTACCATTGAGCAGCCATCTGGATATTTTACTTATGCATGTACAACGGCGAGCTAGGCTCGCACCCTCCTGTGTTTCAAAAGTGGATATTAATTCATTGCTGGCTTACCTTGATCAGCAGTACAAATTGATGCCCATAGAGTGGAGTGGGCTGTGTCCATGTCTGCTCTGTATAGGCGGAGCAGACACAGACCTGTCATCCACCTGCTTAGCACTGTATCATCGGACAGATTCCTCACTGTACAAAACAGATCTGGCCTGTGCGAAAGGGGCCTTAAAAGGAAAAGTTCACCTTTGTTAAAAGGAAAACATAATAATAAGTCAGACTAAAGGGGCCATTTGTATGTAAGGCAGAGTGCAGGGGTCAGTGGTATGTAGGGCAAACTGCAGATCTGTCCCCTGTACCCAGCCAGCATTTTCCTTTGCCCATTGGCATTTTGTTCCCCTGCCTGGAAACAATATTTTTTACCCACCCTTACAAAGGTAAAGCAGCAGAGGGAAGCAGTGGTGAGACAGTTACCTGTTCCAGCGTGTTCCTTCTTCCAACTGTCCCACAGTTACCTGTTCTCCCGCCCTTTATCAGCTCTCCCGTCATCCAGCCCATGAGATGTCACAAAGAAGTGTCTGGGATGGACATGGGAGGAAGGCTGGCGGGGATGAGTGCAGGACACAGCTGTGTTGTTTCCCTGTGCTGTTCTACATATGGTGGGAAGAGCACTTACAGAAGGTTGGCATGGGGGGCGCACAGTTTACCAGTCACCCACCCACAGCTGGCAGGTAGCTGAACCCTGATATAAATAATAAACAGTGCAGCGCTAAACCTCAAATATATAAATACATAAATATAAATAAAAATATTATAAAATATATATGCAATAAATCAGTGCAATGTGCAAAAAAAGTTAAATATAAATATAAAGTGCAACACGTGTATTCCACACGGGAATAATCGAAGTGTCAAAGTGATAACAGCAATCAGACTGTCAGAAAAATCACTCAAAATAAAAATCACACAATGTAGACAAGTCCATATATATAGTGTCCAAAAACAGAATCTTCATGCATGTGACACCAAGGGGTTTATTTACTAAAGCTGGAGAGTCCAAAATCAGACTCCCTTCTGCATAGAAACCAATCAGCTTCTAACCTCAGCTTGTTCAATGAAGCTTTGGCAATGAAACCTGGAAGCTGATTGGTTTCTGTGCAGAAGGGAGTCTGATTTTGGACTCTCCAGCTTTAGTAAATAAACCCCCAAGTGTCCACACTGTGTAAATCCAAAAGTGGCTACAGTGGCCCCTCACCTCCTTACATTAACCCTGCAGGGTCAGCTCGCCTTAGGATAAAACACCACTCAGATGTATCACAGGATCTTCCCCAGAAATATACACTCTGTCAGCAGCTTCCTCTCCGGTTCATGTACAAACAAAAGGCTTTCATATTGTAAAACCGCAATTTATTGAATAAAACTCATGTAAGAAATGCCCACTCACATATAGATTCGTCTTTCACATGGCTCCTATACCTCATGCTATGAATGCCTTGCATGGGTATTCGATATAGGGATTTCAAATATGGCCGCCACGCCGGAAATGACGTCACCGCGCTTCCAGAATCCTCCTAGCGTACCGACGCTGAACCCTGATATAGACCACTGAGCAACATATTTCCACAGATGGCATTCACATTGGTCTTGAAGAAGCAGATTTATTCTTATATCTGTGAAATTGTGTAAAACTGCATTCACTGTTATTTTATACAGGGTGAAATTGTTAGGGCCGGTCCACACCATGAATCGCACAGGAACGCTTTGTACATCTCTGACCTATTCACATGCGATCCGAGTGCAGTGCGATATCAGTCTATTCATTTGGCCGGGCTGAAAATGTACCAGACTGCAGCAAAACTAGTGCATACACTACATTACAAAAAGCACAGCGACTGGATGATATGGGACTTCTGTACCATGCGATCCGGTGCAGACAAATGCACTGCATTTGTGACCTGTGTTTGGGGTGTCGTTAGCATTGCAGTGACCCCCGCTGCACAGAGCAAGTGCAATGCATTTCGAAGCCGGTGCAGAAAAAGCGAGATTCCCACACCTCATTCTGGTATGAATTTGTCCTTAAAGTATAACTAAAGGAAAATGTTTTTTTTGGATTGGATGGAGTGGAGGGGGGTGTAGAACACCTGTCAGGTTTGTTTTGCTGTCTGTGTCCCTATCAGAAAGATTTGCCCTCTCTGCCCTGGAGACTACTATTATCCAGCATGAAAGAAAATTTTGAATCTGGGGTTGTCTCCAAAACAGTAATACAGGTGAAATTTGAAAAATTAGAATATCATGCAAAAGTTCATTTATTTCAGTAATGCAACTTAAAAGGTGAAACTAATATATATGAGATAGACTCATTACATGCAAAGCAAGATAGTTCAAGCCGTGATTTGTCATAATTGTGATGATTATGGCTTACAGCTCATGAAAACCCCAAATCCACAATCTCAATCCGCCTTCCTGTAGAGGAGATGGAGGAACATCCCTTCCCTGATCTCGTCTGTGATAAATGAAGCTGGAAGTAACAAGGATTTTGTCACTTCTGGTTTCAGAGCTGTCATTTCCTGGCCATTACAGCCAAGGAAGCAGCTGATCTAACATGATCTATCAGCAGTTGCTTTGAAGGGCATAGGAGTCATCAGGAGTCTAATAGAGCCCTGATGTCTCCATAAAGATTACCTGTCACTTGCCGAGAGTTATCACAGGGGGTCTCGTCGCCCTCTGGTAATAACAATAAAGTTACATGAAGAAAAAAGTTTAAAGCGATACTATAGGCTTAGATTTTTTTTCTAACAAACATATCATACTTACCTGCTGTGTGCTGTGGTTTTGCACAGAGCAGCCTGGATCCTCCTCTTCTTGGGTCCCCCGCAGGCTCTCCTGGCCCCTCCCTCCTGTCGGGTGTCCCCACAGTAAGCGGCTAGCTATGAGGGCATGCGCTGCTTCATGTAGCCATTAACACACGGAGCTTCGGCTCGGACCTGCCCCCTCTCTCTTCTCATTGGCTCAGTGGCTGTGATTGACAGCATGGGGGGTCTATGGCTTCTGTCTCACCCAACGAGAAGAGGGAGCATTTAGAACCACTTTAAAAAGTACTAAAAAAGTGAATTTAAATTTAAAAAATTCAAAGCTCCCCTCCATGCACACACGCAAACACACCACAGCCATACAAAGCAGTGTGCTTACAGTGTAAAGCACTCACACAGCACACAGTTAACCCTTCGATTGCCCCACATGTTAACCCCTTGCTGCCCAGTGCCATTAGTACACTGTCAGTGCTTTTTATTAGTACTGATCACTGTATTGGTGTCACCAAGTTAGTTTCCCCCAGTGTCAGAATGCTCGCTGAAGTCCCGCTACAAGTTGCTGATCGCTGCCATTACAGTATATATATACTGCCATTTAAAAATGCTATAACTTTCGCATAAACCAATTAATTTACATGTATTGGGATTTTTTTTAGCAAAGACATGTCGCAGAATACATTTTGGCCTAAATTTTGATAAAATTTTATTTTTTAATTTTTTTTTTACTGGACATGTTTAACCACTTGGCAACCGCGCTATAGCCGAATGATGGCTACAATGTGGTTGTCCAGTTCTGGGAGGGCGTCATATGACGTCCTCCCTGAACATGCTCTCCCGTGTGCCCCCAGCTGCGCGCAGCTGGCGATCTCCGTGATCACTGTGTCCTATGGACACAGCTGATCACATGATGAGGTAAAAGGCCAATCACAACATCCTTTTACTACGTGATCAGCTGTGTCCAATGACATGCTAATCACCGGGTAAATGCAATTGCTGGTTATCGGCTGCACTTTCCTCACGTTGTCGCAGTGTGAGGAAAGTACTGCCGATAACCGGCAATTGTCAGAGAACAGATTGGCACCGATCATCAGGGCACAGATGATCAGTGCCCAGCAGTGCCACCCACCTGTGCCCATCAGTGCCTAGCAGTACCCCCATCAGTGCTGCCCAGCAGTGCCCATCATTGCTGCATATCAGTGCAGCATCATCAGTGATGCCTATCAGTGCCCAGCAGTGCCGCCTATCAGTGCCTATCATTGCTGCATATCAGTGCTGCATCATCAGGACTGCCTATCAGTGCTGCCTATCTCTGCCGCCTCATCAGTGCCCATCATTGCTGCCTATCAGTGCAGCCTCATCAATGCACATCAGTGAAGGAGAAAAATTACCTGTTTGCAAAATTTGATAATAGAAACAAAGAAAAAGTTTTTTATTTTGCACTTTTTTTGTTTATAGCACAAAAAAAAAATAAAACACTCAGTGATAATTAAATACCACCAAAAGAAAGCTCTATTTGTGTGAAAAAATTCTAAAAATGTCATATGGGTACAGTGTTGCATGACTGCTCAATTGTCATTCAAAGTGCGACAGCGCTGAAAGCTGAAAATTGGCCTGGGCAGGAAGGGAGTAAAAGTGTCTGGTAGGCAAGTGGTTAATAGCAAAAAGTAAACAATATCGTTTTTTTTTCAAAATTGTTGGTATATTTTGTTTATAGCACAAAAAATAAAAGTGCACAGGAGATCAAATACCACTGAAACCTCTATTTGTGGGGAAAAAAAGGACGTAAATTTCATTTGGGTGCAGCGTTGCATGACTGCGCAATTGTCAGTTAAAATAACACAGCGCCATATCGCACAAAATAGCCTGGTCAGGAAAGGGGTGAAATCCTCTGGAAGGTGAGGGGTTAATCCTGTGTTGGGTGTATTTTTTCCTGACAATTTGTGTTTGATAAACAACTGTGCAAATATTGTGTGACAGGAAAAAATGCAACAGCCAACATTTTATTCTCCGGGGCCTCGGCTGTCAGAAAACGTAGAATGATTGGCTGTTCTAAGCAACAAAACCAGCGTGTCCTGCACCGGAGGGGGCTGGCAGCGTGATCTGTGCCGGGCAAAGGGCACCATGCTAAGGGCCGCTCTGAGCTCAGTGTGCGGCTCGCCTCTCCCCCGGTGTCGGCTCTCCGTTTCCAGCTCCGGTCTCCCCCGGTGTCGGCGCTCCATGTCGGGCTCGGTACAGTTGCGGGTGTTCCCGGAGCGCTGCCTGTTCGATGATCCTCTCCGGCTGGAGGTGAGCGGCTTGATCCCCGGACAGGAGGTGACTCTCCGCACCGAGCTGACCGATGAAGGCGGGGAGCCGTTCACTTCCCTGGGTCGGTACCGAGCCGGGAGCGGAGGGGAGCTGGAGCTGAGCCGGAGCCCGGCGCTGGAGGGCGGCACCTTCACCGGAGTAGAAGCGGAGGGGCCCCTGTGGGCTCTGGAGCCCCGGAATGGTGTGAGGAGGAGGATGATGAAGAAGGACGTGCGGAGCCCCCTGATTGTCCGCTTCTCCCTCCACCAGGAGCCGGCCGGAGCTGTGCTGAGCACTGCGGTCCAGGAGAGGAGCTTCCTGGGGGAAGGAGTCCGGAGGATCAGGGTGAGGGAGGGCGCAGTGCGGGCCACTCTCTTCATACCGCCCGGTGAGTGTCCCCAGGACAGGGGATCGGGGTCACTGGGGGGGACATGAGGGATCGGGGTCACTGGGGGGGACATGAGGGATCGGGGTCACTGGGGGGGACATGAGGGATCGGGGTCACTGGGGGGGACATTGGGGTGACATGGGGGAGTGGGGACATATGGGATCTCGGTGAGGGAGGGTATCGTGCGGGCCACTCTCTTCATACTACCCGGTGAGTGTCCCCAGGACAGGGGGAGCGGGGTCACTGGGGGGGACATGAGGGATCGGGGTCACTGGGGGGGACATGAGGGATCGGGGTCACTGGGGGGGACATTGGGGTGACATGGGGGAGTGGGGACATATGGGATCTCGGTGAGGGAGGGTATCGTGCGGGCCACTCTCTTCATACTGCCCGGTGAGTGTCCCCAGGATAGGGGAGCGGGGTCACTGGAGTTGGACATGGGGGATCGGGGTCACTGGAGGATTGGGGTCACTGGGGGGGACATTGGGGGATTTGGGGTCACTGCAGGTGAATAAGAAAAATTGGGGTCACTGGAGGTGACATAGAGGACCGGGGACACCAGGGGTGACATATGGGATCGGGGCGCAGTTCGGGACACTCTGTTCATACTGCCCGGTGAGTGTCCCCAGGACAGGGGAGTGGAGGTCAGTGCGGGTGACATGGGGGATCGGGGGCACTGGGGGTGACATGCAGGAACATTGGGGTCACCAGGTGTGACATTGGGGAGCAGAGTCACTGGGGACATGGTCACCAACCACCCATAAGTTTACTGGCAGTTTTTAAAAATTGTTTGATTTTTACCTGTCCATAAATGTCCAGGAATGGTAACCTGCTGCCCATAAAAAAGATGGCTGCAAGCGGCTTCGGAACTGCGCATGCACAGTATGCATGGTGACACCATTTACAAACTCTAAATAGCAGAGGAGGACCGTCTTACTGAGCCTGCCCTTGGTGACCCCATTACCATGTGGTGCACCCCAGCATTCTTGAGGAGGAGACAGCAAGCCAGTGACAGCTGCAGCCAGTCCAGTGTCTCCTTGATGTAAGGGGGAAGTGAATACACAAAGGTAAGGGGGGGCACTAATATAAAGGTTCCCCCTTATATCAGTAACCCCCCCCCCTTTACCTCAGTGGTTTAATTCTGCGGAAGGTGGTCTGTGGTCACCAGAGTACCCCCCACATCAGAGTTCCCGGCATTCCCCCTTGAAGCAGAGTCCTCAGAGTTCCTATTTACATCAGAGTCTGCAGAATTCCCCCTTACAGTACAAGGGGGAAACTCTGACGTAAAACACAATGCTGCAGACCCTGATGTAACTGGGAACGCTGATGTAAAGGGGGGTGTTGCAGACTCTGATGTAAGGGGGGGCTGTGGTGAACAGAGACTACATTACATCAGAGTTCCCCCTTACACCAGAGTCTGCAGCATTGCCCCTTATATCATGGTCCTCAGATTCCCATTTACATTAGAGTTCCCTTTTACATCTGGGTCTGCAGAGGTTCCCCTTGCACTGTAAGGGGGAATTCTTCAGACTCTGATGTAAGGGGGGACTCTGTGGACTCTGATGTAAGGGAGAACTCTATGGACTTTGATGTAAAGGGGAACTCTGTGGGGTCTGATGTAAAGGAGAATTCTCAGCACTCTGTTGTAAGGGGAACTCTGGGGACTCTTGTGTAAGTGGGGGGCTTTGATGACTAGAGACCCCCTTATATCAGAGTTTCCCTTTGCACCAACACAGAGTCCACAGCATTCCACCTTACTGTATATCAGAGTCCTCAGAGTTCTCCTTTATGTTAGACTTCACAGGGTTCTCCTTTACATCAGACTCTAAAGAGTTCTGCTTTACACCAGAGTCCTCACCATTCCACCTTACATCAGAGTCCTCAGAGTTCTTCTTTACATTGGACTCCACAGGGCTCTCCTTTACATTAGTCTTCACGTTGTTCCTGTTTACATCTGCTCCGCAGAGACCCTGTGAACGTAACGGGGAACCCTGTACATTGTGATGTTAGAGGGAACTCTGTGGATTCTTGTGTAACTTCCTCCATCTCTGGACTGATGTAAGGGGGGCACGCTGATGTAGGGGGGGACTCTGATGTAAAGAGGGACTCTTGGAACCCTGATATATAGGGAGATGCTGGGGACTTTGATGTAAGGGGTACTCCGATGTGAACACAGGGTTCATCCTTACTGCTGCACTCTTGTTTTGTATATTACTCCTGACCCCCGGCACTCTATACATTACATAGTCTTGATGTCGGTGTTAAGTGTCCCAACAGTTGCTGGTTTTAGGACCCATTCACCCCCGAATCTGTGTGCTTACTGCAAATGTTTTTATGTGCAGTCATGTGCATTGGACCTGCATTTTTTTACGCGCATTTGTATGAATTTGCTATGCATTTTTTCTAAGCTTGCATTTAGTTTGAGGTCACTTCTGTCTTTTTTCTTCTTTGGACTTTTATTTGCACCAAGCTGTGTTGCAGTGCATTTTTGTGCAGTTAAATGCATTTACGCTCATTTCTGTGCATTTACAGTGCAGAAAAATGCAGCTTGTTGTACTCTTTTTCACTGCACTGCCCTAGTGTGAACTATGCCCATAGGATAACCTGGATTTTGGACTGTCTATGCAGTTGGAGTGCAGTCAAAAATGTATCCAACTGCATCTGGTTTGAATGGGCCCTTAGGGACAGTTCACACTACATGCGTTTCAGTTGCTTTTTTTTCTGCATCCAAAACACATAGACAGTACTGTAGGTTATATGGTTGTCAGTCAGTGCTTGCAGTTCCTGTGTGTTCCAGTTGCAGAAAAAAAAGTAAACCATGCTGCATTTTTTTCTGCACAGAGCTGTACTGGAATGCGGTAAAACGCATGAAAAATGTACCGGAATGCACTTGAATGCACCAAAAATGTACCTGAATGCACCAAAAATGTACCTGAATGCACCAAAAATGTACCGGAATGCACATGAACGCAACAAAAATGTACCGGAATGCACTTGAACATATAAAAAATGTACCAGAATGCACTTAAATGCACCAAAAATGTACCGGAACACACGTGTCCCTATTTAAATTGAAGAAAAAGAGAGGGGGAAAAATGAACTGGAATGCATCAAAAACGCACCGAAACGCAGCAAAAACGCATCCAGAGCGCATCTGGACTGTGTTTCTATAGTGCGAACCAGTCCTAAATGAAGTTCTTTTTCAGGTCAGCTTAGTCAGTCAGCCTTTTGTATGTGCATGAAATCATATGTAGTGGAAACATTTAAAAAAATGATCCTTTGTCCCGAGGTGTGTTTGTGTCTGTTGTGGTACAGTAATTGACAATATTTTGTGTATTGTTATTGTTTAGGATTGTTATATGTGTGCATTGTGTATAGTGACTAGGCACAGACTCTGTTCACCACTTGACCTCTTGAAGGTTTTACCCCCTTTATGACCAGAGCATTTTTTTTTTTTGCTATTCAGCACTGCGCTACTTTAACTGACAATTGCTCTTTCATGCAGCACTGTACCAAAATATTTTTTTTTTTTCACACAAATGGAGATTTCTTTTGGTGGTACTTGATCACCACTAGGTTTTTATTTGCTATACAAACAAAAAAGCCACAACATTTTGAAAAAAAAACACATTTTCTTAGTTTCTGTTATAAAATTTTGCAAACAAATAATCTTTATTCATACATTTCGGCCAAAATGTATTCTGCTACATTTCCTTGGTACAAATAACCCAAATCAGTGTATTTTATTTAGTCTGTGTGAAGGTGATAGAGTTCACAATCTATGGTACATATGTACAGTACATGGTATGTATACTCTGCCTACATATACGACAAGTATCTATCTATTCAAACAAAACAGTTAACATAAAAAAATTACAAAAATGTTTAAATTAGAAAAAAAATAAGAATAGGCAGACTTTGTGGACCACTAGGTGTTTTTTCCTGCTGTCACATTTCTGTGTTTCTATGAAAATCTATCAGTTCTGATGTACTGACTGCCTATCTCATTTCTTGAGGCCCTAAAACGCCAGGACAATACAAATGCACCCCCCCCCCAAAAAAAAGACCCCATTTTAGAAAGTAGACAGTCCTAGGTATTGTGGAAGAGGAATGGCGAGTTTTTTGAAAATGAAGAAATTAAATATTTTTTTATTTCACATTTTTTTAACGTACTGTCAGCAGTTCAGTAGAGCGTAATCGTATGCTTAGTGTAGCGGTGATCAGGGACACTGACTGGTAAATAATAATAATTTTTTTTTTAACCACTTCCCTACCGGGCACTTATACCCCCTTCCTACCAAGGCCAATTTTCAGCTTTCAGCGCTGTTGCACTTTGAATTGCAATTGCGCGGTCATGCAACACTGTATCCGTATGACATTTTTATAATTTTTTTTTCACACACGTAGAGCTTTCTTTTGGTGGTTTTTACTTGCTGCTGGGTATTTTATTTTTTGCGCTATAAACAAAAAAAGAGCAAAAAATGTGAAATTCAAAAAGCTTTTCTTTGTTTCTATTATAAAATTTTGCAAACAGGTAATTTTTCTCCTTCACTGATGTGCGTTGATGAGGCAGCACTGATGGACACTGATAGCACTGACAGGCGGCACTGATGAGGTGGCACGGATAAGCAGCACTGATGGACACTGATAGACAGCACTGACAGGCGGCACTGACAAGGTGGCACGGATAAGCAGCACTGATGGGCGGCACTGATGAGCTGGCACTGATGCTGTTGCACTGATATGCAACAATGATGGACACTGATAGGCGGCACTGATGAAGCAGCACTGATATGCAACAATGATGGACACTGATAGGCGGCACAGATGGACACTGATAGGCAGCATTGATGGGCACTGTTGGGCAGCACTGATGGGGGGCACTGCTGAGCACAGGTGGTTGGCACTGTTGGGCACTGATCATCACTCTTGCCGGTTATCGGCAGTACTTTCATCACGCTGTGAAAGCATGAGGAAAGTGTAGCCGATAACCAGCAACT